ACAAAAAAAAAAAAAAAAAAAAAAAAAATTCTATGCCGCAGATAAATAATAACTTTTAACTTTACAATTATTACTCTAGCTTTAATATTTAACACATAATATATCTCTTACAAATATTGACCAATCATTTTCTTTTTAGATAGCATAACGAATTTTGAGATATTTACATGAACAAATTTTTATTTTACATATAATTAATTATCTGGGACAAATTTCTAACCCATTCATTTTTCTTCCTTACGACATCTCAAATTTCTTTTTGGATGATCCTTACCCCTGCTTTCTTTCCGTTTTGATTGTAATAAATTTTTAAACACGATAATTTTTTACGGTTTCTGTTTTCCTATTAATACTTCGTTAACATGAAGAAAAAACTTTATGATTAATACAATTTTACATGTTTTTTAGGAAAAAGAAACGTATAATTTTTTATTTTTAGTGTTTTCAATTTTAGCCTTCCACACTTTTGTATTATCATAGCGACCTCGTTTCTCTATGAATACTTGTATTTTAATATCCTATTATTTAAATCAAGCGGCGTAGTTATACTCAACCAAAGCCCTATTTGAATATAATCTAATGATAGTATTTTACTTTAAAATAATTATTTATTTTCATAGTAAAGTTAGTATTTATTTATTTATTTTTTTTTAAAAAAAAAAGAAAAATATTTTGTAACTAATGTTTAAAATTAGGGTTTAACTTCGGGTGATTTAAATGGTACTAATACAAGAATATTTATAAATAAGAAATTAAGAAAGTCACAAAATGTTTCTCAACTCTCGGATTTTAATAATAAACTTTTTTAAAATCAATGATAAAATTTTAATTATTATTTAATTTACTTTAATAAATTATGATATATACAAAAAGTGACCAAGTTTTTTTCTAAGGTTCTAAATTCTTACAATTACTTACAACTTTATTGCACAAATAGTTGCTAGCTATATTTAATATATTTAATTTTAACCAAGGTGAGGTGGCGAGGTCGACCTCATATGATTTTTTTTTAATTTACGGTGATAATACCATCACGACTTACGATCCATTATTTCTATCTTTAAAAATTCTACTGTTTTATTCGACTTTTTTGATTAGCTTTATTAACGCAAAGAAGGATTGAACGGTGCATACAATATTTAATGAATTTATAATAGTGTTAGAAGTCAGTTCTTATAAGCTTAAAAATAAGCTATACATTAAAAAATGTTTATATTTAATAAAGCAGAAGGTAATTTTAAGGATCAACGTATATGTTAAAATCAATCCAATCAGATGCGAATAGAGTATCGCTTCACACT